TACACAGTTTTACTGTGCTTTCAAACTACCGCCAGTCACGCAGGTTTTACGGACTGATGTATAGTGCGATGGTATCAGATGTTCCTTGTACTCAGTTTGAATATGGTTGTTTCGTAGGTGATATCTGCAACTATGCTTCCTTCCTACACCTCGTTCGAATTATGGCGTATCATCACAAATTTATGGTTAAGAATTTGAATCTAAATAAATCCTATGTCTTTAGAGACTACCTCTGATTATGCTTCGATCTATGTAGCGAAACGTGTGGGCAATAAGTATTTTAACGTTTGTTGCATTTGATGTCCTGAGCCATGAATCGTGTTGCCACCTATCGATATAACTATGGTCACGGAATCAAAAATCTGAAGTCTTATTATTCTTTGTCTTTATACTTTCGCGATCTGTTTCATTTTCTTGCATATCAGTGAAAAGTCTGTGAAAATACTGTGAGGTGTACTGTACTGTCTATATTCGTCATCAGAACGACGAAGAGGTTGCGATATAGACTCAGAAGTCTACAACCAGTCAGTGAGACGTTTCTATGACCACATATCCTTTCTGGTCGTAGAGGCAGATGCGTCTCCGACATCTCTGATCCTGTGCCAACGTTTGAGCTTCGGCAGAACATAACCTGAGTCTGGAACAAAGTGTGTCGAGATGCTTGTCCAGATTATTCTTCGTCTTCCCCGGGGTCTTCAGCCAGCCAGATGAGCAAGTAGTAGCCGTTTCGCCTTACTCTCTGCAAGCATGCGCGAAACTTGTCAAAACCATTGCAGCTGTGACTTCTCAATCTGAACAGCACCGGCTGTACACCATAACTATCCTCGATAACTCCAGACCTTGTGAAGACATGTGAGCTCAACGAATCTTCTCACAAAGCCTGTTGCATTCCGTAAATTCACATTAATGTTTAAATGGCAGCTAATGAGTTCGTCGAATTATTTACAGATTTCTTGCGAAATTTTTCTATCGCTAAGGAACTGGAGAAACTGCAGCGTCCGGAGGTGAAAGGCATCGGCGGACCCCGACATTTACGGATGGTAATCACAGTTAACGGACACCCCAGAAGTTCACGGCTGTTTGTGCTTTTGCATTTCAGGTGACCGATGAAATGGTTGAGATGGCGGCCAGTTTGGCGGATTCGGTGTTTTTTTGGTTTTGCCAGTGCAATCCCACCAAAAACTCGTTCATCGCTCTGACCAGCCTTCTGCGAAACATTGACTATGACTTGGCTGAAGGACCGAGATACATTCAGAAAACTGTTCTTCCTCTGATAATGGCTGGCCTGGAGGCTATCGATGTACCTGCCGCCAAGGAGGTGAACTTGTCAGAGACGGGTAAGTGATAATGTCGATGCGTATGTTGTACGTATTTAGTTATTCACGTTCACTAATCATTGTACGGTCAACTACTGTAAGACAATCAGGCTCTAACTTTACCGTTTTGAGTCACAGATTATATTTTTCATGACATG